CCGCCACCACCTTGTGCACATCGCTCCGAATGAGATCCCGAATCTCGCCCAGATACGCTGCGGCGCCCTGCTCGTACGACTCCATCTCCGAGGTGCGTGTCGGGTGGCATCCTGCCGTCGAGTAGAATGCGTCGGATCGCCGGGCAAGTGCAAGCGCTTCGTGCGATTCAGCCAGGTTCCCGCCGGTGAGGATCTGCGCAACTACGCCAGCGTGTGCAGCTCGCTCGCACACGACGTCGAGATCGTCTTCGTGCGATTGCTTGCCGTGGTACGAGCCGCGAAAGACCGGGTCGGTGAGGTTGACGCCAATGTCGATGAAGCTCGGCGTGGAACTAGCCATGGTGTGCAGCGAGCGCACAGTACGCGAGATGGAGCTGTGCTTGAAGGTGACAGAGGCGATGGGACGAAGCACAAGCCTTGCTCGATGCATTCGGATCTTGATGCAGCAAGAGGAGGTCGTCGGAAGGATCGCAGCTGCAGGAAACGCCTCCACACCAACACCAGGCGGAAGGCCCACGGCGACTTTCTCTTTGTGTTACGCTTCTGTACTTCTAACAACTTGCGATTCGATTTTTTGTTTCGGACGGAAGGGGAAAGCGAACAGCACCGCCTCGCATTTTCCACGGAGCGGTCTTTTCGGAATGTCCGGAAGCTGGGCGTGACGAACTGCATCCGAGTTTGAGCGTGATGCTGACATCCGGCTCTCGAGCCCCTTTGATGCGCGCCGATGGGCAGTGCTCAGCCGATGTCTGCTTCGGGACTCGCGAAGCTGCTCGGCTCTTCTCATTCCACGCCGCAACGCACCATCCGTGGGGATGACAGGCGGAAGTACCGAGAAGAGCCGGACAGTACACTTCCAAAGAGCATAGGCACAGCGAAACAAGAAGAAGGAAAAATGCGGACCCCCAAAAAAAGTGTTGGGAAAAGTGGGCAAATTTACTCTCATTTCTTCTCGAAACGAATCGGCGTGCAGCGGTGAGCGCCGCCTGCTGCTCCTGGAAGGCCAAGGCAACAAGAGTGAAAGCAGCGTCGGCCAGGCCGGCTGAGAAGGGCGTGTGCTTTTCGGCTCAGCCGCTTCTCCACTCTCGGCGAGCTTCAGAGAGGCGGATCTGCTGGGCTTCCCTTGATCTTCCGGCACTGGCTCCGTGCGCCGCCCGCCCTGAACCCTTTCGGTTGCATCACACTTCCCACCGCTCTTTCCTCACACCTGCCACCACCCTCATCAACACCATCACCTCCAACACCACGCACACACGCTCTTTATCCATCACATAACATCGCCAGTAACCACCGCCTCTTCCGGGCACACCACTCTGTCGCTCATGGCCGCCTCCAGCTCCTCCTCCTATCTCGCCGCCAAGAGCTTGGCCTGGGCGAGCGGCTCGTTGGCCGCGGCGGGCCGCACTCGCCCCTCGCTGCGTCCTGCCAACCAGCTCGACGTCCTCCAGATCTTTGTCCCAGGTCTGCGACCCCCCGCCTCCGGCTTCTCCACCGCCATCACAAAGCACTACCACCAAAGACGCAAGATCGAAGACACACAAGCCCTCGTCCGACGCAGATTCGCTCGCAACCACTCCACAGACACACAGCAGCGCTCCACTCCTTCCTCCTCCTCCTCATCGTCGCAACACAACCACTCTTACCCTCCCCCTGGCACACTGTCTAAAGATGCAAAGTCCACATCCGAGTATCAGGGCCAGTCCGCCGGCGCACCTCCCAAGCCGCCTACCACCACCACCATCAGCCCGCTCCCAGCCTCCACCAACACCGCTGCAGAGCTCGGCTCGCCCGCCAACCAGACCGCCGCTTCCCAGTCCTTGATTGCGGAGCAAAAGGCAAAGGATGCGCGCGAGCTCGAGGCATCCAAGCCAAAGGGACCCCTCACCACCCGCATCTGGGCCAAGGTCAAGGAGGAGGCGCTCCACTACTGGCACGGCTCCAAGCTCCTCGCCAAGGAGGTCAAGATCTCGTCGCGCCTGCTTCGCCGTCTCCTGCTCGGTTACAGCCTCACTCGCCGTGAGAAGCGCCAGCTGAAACGCACATTTGCCGACCTCCTCCGCCTCATCCCCTTCATCCCCTTCGTCATCGTGCCCGCAGGCGAGCTCCTCCTGCCCGTCGCCATCAAGATCTTCCCCAACATGCTGCCCAGCACCTTCGAGAGCAAGTTCTCCGTCGAAGAGAAGCGCAGGGGCCTCATCAAGGTGCGCCTCGAAATGGCAAAGTTCCTCCAGGAGACCATCAAGGAGGGCGGTCTCCAGGCCACCGACAAGGTCAAGACCTCGGAAGAGTTCAAGGAGTTCTTCCGCAAGGTGCGCTCCACCGGCGAATCGCCCAGCAACCAGGACATCATCAAGGTCGCTCAGCTCTTTGAGGACGACCTCACCCTCGACAACCTCACGCGCCCCCAGCTCGTCAGCGTCTGCCGCTACATGCAGATCAACGCCTTTGGCACCGACAACTACCTGCGCTACCAGATCCGTCACAAGCTCAACCGCATCCGCCAGGACGACATTGTCATCTCCCACGAGGGCGCCGACAACATGTCGCAGTCCGAGCTCGTCAGCGCCTGCCAGAGCCGCGGCATCCAGACCACCAACCTCTCCGAGGACCGTCTGCGCCAGGAACTCCAGCAGTGGATCGACCTCCACGTGCGCAACAAGATCAGCGGCACCCTCCTCGTGCTCAGCAAGGCCTTCAACTACGTCGCCGCCGGCAACAACGACGTCAACGCACAGTCGCACCTGCGCTCCCTCGAGCTCACCCTGAGCTCCCTGCCGGACAACCTGGTCAACGAGGCCGAGCTCAGCGTCAACTCGGAGCGCGCCACCAACAAGCAGCGTCTCGAGGTGCTCCAGCAGCAGGAGGAGCTCATCGAGGACGAAGCCGAGCAGGAGCAGGAGGAGGCCGCGGCGCGCGAGGCCGAAAAGGAGCGTCGCGCCGCCGAAAAGGCGCGCCTGGCCCGCGAAGAGGAGGAGGCGCGCTCGCTGCTGCCCAAGAAGGAGACCGAGGCCGACCCCGCGCTCGAGGACGCGCGCATGACCAACGAGCAGCTCACCGAGCTCGGCGAGGCGCTCAGCATCCTCTCGGCCAAGTCGTCCGTGCTCAAGGAGCGCGAGGAGCTGGCGCAACTCATCAAAGAGGTCAGCAGCTCCGACGCCTGTGCTCCCGACGCCTCGGCCGCCACCGCATCATCGGACGCTGCCGGCGTCGCTCAGGATGGCTCTGCTTCGACCTCGGCGTCGGCGACCGAGACGAGCGGCGAATCTGCCGCCGCGCCATCGTCATCATCGTCGTCGTCGTCGTCGCGCAGCATGGCGAAGCGCATCAAGTCGATGCTGGAAAAGATCGACAACCAGCTCGAGGAGTACGACCGCGACGTGGGCTCGCGCATGCACCTCATCGAGGCGTCGCACACGGGCAAGATCTCGGTGGACGACCTCGAGCAGGCGCTGCGCCTCATCAAGCACAAGCCCGACGACGAGGTGATCGAAAAGATCGTCGACAAGCTCGACGTGGACCACGACGGCCTCGTGCCGCTCGACGACGTGCTCGAGCTCGCGCGCGCCGAGACGGGGCTCGGCATCCTCCGCGACGAGGGGGTCAAGCAGATCCACGCCCAGGGCCAGCAGATCCGCAACAACGATGCGCGCAAGCCCAAGAAGAGCGACATTGTCGAGGAGTGATCGCATCCACATGGCTCGCTGGCTTTCATTTGGCTTCGTTTTTTTTTGCACTTGCTACACCACACACACCACTGAACACACACACATACACACATGCACGCACTGTCGATCTCTTGTGCGCGATGCGGGGTTTGGATTTGGCGTGCGCAACAGTGACCGATTAGAGCGGCTTGATATCGTGGATGATGACGGCCTCTGTGCTGGTGCCCATCCAGCCTCTATCACCGGAGGCGGTGAGGAGGAATTTGGACGAGCGGTCTACGATCAGGCTCGAGAGGTTTGCGCCGTGATGGCCCGCGACGATCTTGAAGGGCACTTTGGCTTCGGAGGATTCGGCGGTATCCCAGAGACGCACGTTGTCGTAGCTGCCGCAGACGATGTGTCTTGCGTTGGGCATGGCTGCCAGGGCGTAGACGGGGCCGGAGCCGGAAGGTAGACGGAGGGTGTTGACGAGTTTGGGCGAACGAAGATCCCAATGGTCGACGCACTCGTTTCTGCGACCGATAAAGACGCTCCCACCATCCGAGCTGAATACCGCTGATTGACACCATGGTGGGACCTTGGAGGGCAAAGCAAGTGAATGGACCCCGCGCGCTTCGCCGTCGGTGAGGTAGGATGGGCAACGAAGATCCCATAGAATCGCCTGGCCCGAGAGCGAAGTGGACATCATCACGGATGGACTGAACGACGAGATCGGTGCAGAGTACGAGGACGATACGCTGAACCCGCCAAACGCCGGTTTGGGTAGCGTCTTTTTGGGTCCTGCGTCCGGAACAACCGCCTTGGGCGAAGGTACTTTGACGTCATTTGCAACCGTACTGGAGGGTAGGGAAAGCGGTACCGACTCCGACTCGGCAACTAACGTGCTTTGGGACGAAGTATTCTTTACCATAGCCCGGCCCGCCAGCGGCATATCTTCATCCGACGACCCATCTGCATCATCCGCATCCTCGTCCGCATCCGCATCCGCCTCGGCATCCATATCCGCATCCGCATCCGCATCGCCATCCGCATCTTCATCTCCGTCCCCGAACAGCGAATCATCATCGCTCTCGTTGCGACCGTTTCGTGCCGTGTCGCGGGAGTCCTTCGGGGCGGAGCTGACGGGCGGCGTGGAACCGCCGAATAGATCATCGGTGCCCGCATCGTCGTCGAGATCCTCGTCGGCTCCTGCTACCATCAGCCCGCCGGCAGTCGTGCCGTTCGCACCGAGGGTGACCCTGTCCGGACGGGTGCCGTCCGCGCGCGGGCCTGCGCTCCCGTCGAGTGCCATACCCAGACTCGCGTTGAGCTCGGCTTCGAACGCAAGCTCTTCCTCCGTCGGGTCGTCTCCCGCACCACCACCGAGCGAAGACGACGGCGCCGATCCGTCCGGCTCCGTCTTGATCCCCGTCACCGCTGTAGCCGCTTCGGGCAAGGGAGAGATGCTCTTGGCTGCAGAATTGGTGGCAGCGGCATCGCTGGATGCTTCGGCAGGTGGAGGCGGCGCATCGCCAGCAGACGCTGTGTCTCGTGCTGGCCCTTCCGACGCAGGTGCATCTGTTGTGGCCGGTTTGGATTCCGCCTCTGCATCCCGCACGGTATCTGCTTGCGCGCTGTCGTTAGCGGCTTTGGCTTCCCCTTCGACCGGCCTGGGTTTCGCGTCTTGCTGGTCTGCATCCTGGTCAGTCCGCCCATCGCCTGACGCTTCTTTGGTTTCCCCTGCTTCCTGCCGTTGCGCGTCGCCAGCATCGTCTTCTTCGCGCGGCTGCTTGTCTGTGCTGCTCTGGGCGGCGGACGGGTGTATGGACACACTGGGCTCGCTTGGGGACGGCGACCTTGCCGACGCCGATGCATGTGGTCTGAACGAGAGCCCCGAGATCTGTCCCGCATGCCCCGGGAACGAGCGCACGATCTGGCCCGTATTGAGGTCCCACTGATGCACGCCTCTATCCCACCCGCCCGAGATCATGCCCGTCTCGTCCTCTGTCAGCGCCAGCGCAGAAACCGCGCCCTTGTGTTTTCGAAAGACATGCCTCGCGACGCCCGGGTCGTGACGCAGGGTATACAGATGGATGTTTCCCGATTCGGACCCACTCACGCCCCACAGTGCGTCCTGCTGCAGTGCGAGGCTGTGCACAACCCCCACGAGTCGGTCCTTTTCGGCCACCGACGCCGAAGGGAATGATGACGACGCGACGCCGTTGGTGGGGAGGTGTTCTTCGTGCGGCCAAAAGGCGGAGAGGGTTCCGCCGCGCGTGATGCCTTCGACAAAGCCGTGGCGCACGTTTTGCGTGAGCATGGTCTTGCCGTTCATGGTGGCGTGCACGTCGTACTTGCGCACGAAGCCGTCCGAGCCGCCGGTGAGCAGCGTTTGGCCGTCGAGCGACAGCGCCATGGCGTGCACGTGGCTCGAGTGCGGCGCTGCCGCCATCGGCTCGATCTGGTATCCGAGCGTCGTGTCGACGCATGCGGGCGAGGGGCGGAAGAGGTTGCGGCGCTCCTGCACTTTGCGAAGGTACGTGGCGGCGGACAGGGCATCTTCGTGAGCGGAGCGACGAGCGCCTGTGCCAGAGGCAGCGACCGAGGCATCGTCGTTGTCGTCGTCCGCATCCTCGTTGTCGTCGTCGTCATCATCGTCGTCGTCATCGCCATCATCGTCATCATCGTCGTCGTCGTCTCCATCGTCGTCATCGTCATCATCGCCGTCTTCGTCGTCGTCTACGTCATCCATGTCGTCGTTATCGGCATCGGGATCGTCGTAGACGGTCTCATCGACAGCATCGTGCTCCTGCTCCTGCTCGTCGTCCATCTCTACATCGTCGTCCATGGTGACTTGCGACGCGCGACTCACGGTCGCTGCAGCGGGTCCAGCAGGCGCAGCAAAGCTTCTGCTAGCAGGTGAAGTAGGATGACGCTATGTCCGTCCTTGCTCAGGGAAGCGTGTGCGGGGGAGGCTCGATACAGCGTGCTGCGGGGCTGGCGGTGATGACGTGCTGCTGCTGAAGGCCGTCAGAAGAGGGCGGAGAGGGTCGAAGGGAAGCCGGGCTGGATGGGCGAGGTCATGAAGCGGCTGCCGCTGTGTCGGCGTGTTGGATGGAGGAAGGAAAGGGTGCAGGCAAGAATGAGGACGTGCACTCTGCAGCCGAGGCCGCCGAGAGAAAGCTCGAAGGATGCCGCCTCACGACGCGGAGTGGGGGATTTCGCGCATCTGACAGGCAAACAGTTTACGCGATCAAACATTCGAAAAATGGACTCACGCACACATGGCGAATCGGCTCGAGCGATACAAGCCGGCATACGACAGCGACGGCGATGTCTGCATCTGCTGAACACTTTGACGAACGGCACAAACGGCATCGTGGACAGCAGACGATGAAGCACGAGTGAAAGGATTTTATCATTTTGCGCAAGGTCTGTTACCACCTTCGTGTGGACTTCAGAGGAACGGATGCAGGTTGAACTCGAGCGCGGAGCAGGGGTAGTCGATACCGAAGCTGGCCAGCACCGACGGATGGAGCACGCCGATGGTGCCGACCTTCTCGTCGGTGTACTCGTTACCGGGGAGCACCTTTTCGAGCGTCTGCTTGACCGTTTCCAACGCGCCCTTTGCACCCGTCGCCGCACCGGGGTTGACCTTCTCCCTTGGCGTCCTGAGATGGACGGTCGCCGCCCTGCCGGGGAAGAAGGTGGCGTCCTCGGCCTGTTCGATCCAGTAGCCCTTGGTCTCCTTCGCCGCCGCACCCGAGATCCTCGGCACAGCCAGCGAGAGCATGAGCCGATCCAAAAGACCGTGCACCACCTCGAAGCTCGCCGCCTTGTCGCAGTAGACCGCGCCCACATGGCGCTGGTTTCGCGCGCACCGCTCCGTCTCCTCTGCATCCTGGAACGCCACATCGCTCACCTCGAACGTGCGCAGCGGCAGAGCATGCTTCCTGTTCTCGCGAACCGTCTTGAGCAGTCCCGCCAGCAACGTCGTACGGACCACCTGGTACTCGGCCGTCTTGGGATTCTCCAACACAATCGCCTCTTTGCCGGAATCCGGTCGGTTCAACCAGCCAAAGTTCTCGTCGTGCGAACACAGGATGAGCGGAAGGACCTCCACCCAGCCCGAGTAGGCACACTCGCGACGCACAATGTCGGCCAGCTTGTTGAGCGGCAACGGCGCAGCCACCGTGTTGGTCGCAGGGAACGTCTTGGGCAGGTTGTCGAATCCGTACGCCACGGCTACGTCTTCCATGAGATCGCACTCGTGCAGGATGTCCGGTCGTGTGGGCGGCACATCCACCACGAGCTTACCTGCGTCCGACGCATCCACGGCAGCGGTGTGGCCCATCTTGCGCAACAGACCCACCATGTCGTCCGCCGAGAGCGCCAGCCCCGTGCAGCGGTTGATGTACTCGACCGACGCATCGAAGCGCACGTTGGACAGGTCCGGCGTCACCTTCTGTGTGCCATCGGCATACACCACACGCACCGGCTCCACGGTGAACGGCTCGGCACAGTACTGCGAAAACATGGCCACAATGATGTTGATGACGATGCCCAGCTTGGTCTCGTCGACGGCGGTGGTGTCGATAAAGACGTTTTTCGTCGCGAGCGTGATCTTGCTGTGGTCCGAGTTGATGATGGGCGGCATGCTGAGCACCTGACGATTCTGGTCGTAGATGATCGGATAAACAGGGCTGTCGCGGATGATGGGCAGATACCTCGACAAATGCTTGTCGCTCTCGTACAGCTGCATCATCTGCACCGCATCGTACTCGGTCTGCTTGTTGAGCGGCGCAAACTTGATCTCGGTCGGCGGCAGCGCCTCGTAGCTGAAGGGTGCCTGGATGGTGTCGAGGTCGTGTGTGCCGATGGCCACGAGCGTCCTGCGACGCGCGAGGTTCTGGTGCAGCTTGTCCTGCAGATCGATAAAGTTGGCATAGCTCTCGGGCGTGAAGGTGACGTTCCTCAGCACGGCGCCTGCAAAGTAGGGGCGGATCTTGGCGGTATCGGCGGAGACCTTGACCTCGATCAGCTTTTCGGGCTGGGTGAGGCGCAGCTGCGGCTGCTCGATGTTGCCCAGGAAGACGTTGAGCGCACGCGAGATGCCCTCGTGGCAGAGCAGGTCGTATCGGTTGGCGGGGATGTCGATCTTGAGCTGCGGCCTCTCACCGAGTCCGGCCTTCTGCACCTCTTCGGTCGTGTCGTCGTCGAGCTCGATGCCGAACTGGAAGCAGAGCTCGTCGAACTCGCGCGTGGTGTAGGTGCGGCCGAGCGCCTGGAAGAAGCGCTCCTTGTCCACGCCGACGGTAGGCATCCTGGCGTTCTACTCGATGCGAGGCGGCGAATATAGACGGGAAGATGCAGGTGAAGCAAGGTGCAACCGTACGGTGCGCTGATGTGGTGATGGAAGCCAGAAGCAAGTAGAGCAACGAGGATTGACGAGGCCGCCGGTGCGGCTGAGCGAGTCAGACGTGGCCGCCCTTCGAAAGCCTTTGCGCCGCCGCCCAGCTCTGTTGGACTGTTGGAAGCGCACCAACGCGCCCTTTTTTCTGGTGCGGCGATTTTCTTCCAGCTCGCCCACGTCTCTCGTACGAAAAAAACTGCATCACTCGCTCGTACTCAACAGCCTTTCTGAACACCCCTCAAGCTCACACGCACACACGGCAACCTGCGCTTGTGGAACCGGCCTACCGTTACTGCAATTGTATGCTCTAACCAAAGCGAGGTGGATGCTGCGGCGCACCGGCACCGGTCGCACCGGGATAGTACGCGTCCTGACTGCGCCTCGTGCCGTGCACATCGCCGGGCATGGGCGTCATGCGTGGTTGCGAGGCATCCATCATGCTGGGTGCATACGGCGCGCCTCCCTGGTAGTGCATCTGCCCGTGGTGCGCGTGCATGCCCGGCGCAGCGCCATACGCGTGCGGGTTGAACGGATCCGGCGTCGTATTGCCGAATCCGCCCGCCATCGATCCGGCGTGCTGCGGGTAGCTGTGGTTCGACCACGAAGGCGTCGGGTACGCCGCCTGCATCGGGCGCTGGTACAGATCGTTGCGGCCGCCGTACGAGGCCAGATGCGGTGGCAGGTTCGTCGCGCCCGCATTCATTTCCGAGGCGCTAGGCGCCCAGATCGAGCTGAGTGGTGCTGTGTTCACGCCCGGGCCCGCAGCGCCCGTCGAACTCGAGGCTAGTGGGTAGGCAGCAAACAGCTGGCGCGCCAGCTCGTCCCTGTTCTGCGCGGCTTTCGAGCGCACCTGCGACGGCACCAGCAGCTGCTCGGCCTGACTCCTTTCGCCTTCCAAGTCGACACTGCGCAGCGACTGCTCCATCGACTCGACGTCCGTCTCGGGCCGCCCGACAGCAGCACGCATGGCTGCCTCCACCGGATCGTCCACCGACGCCGAGCTGCCGTTTTCCTCCGCTTCCGTCCTCGTCGCACCATTCGGGGCACTCGTCGCTGCCGGCTTGACCTCCGCCCGACGACGGTACTCAAACACATTGTTGGTGTCGTCAAAGTGGATGGGACTGGCATCGGACTCGGCGATCACCTTGGCATCGATCATGAGGTCGGCGATGCGCATCAGCTGCTCCTCGTTCGGGTGCACCTGGCTCGGGCGCACCGCCTCCATGTTGGCGCACGCCTCGCCCATGCCCACGCTGATGGTCGTGCCGCCCGGAATCGTCGACTGCGTCGCCTTGCGCGTCGGCGCGAATCCGCGCATGTCCGAGTCCTCCTCGAGGCACAGCGCAGCCGCGCCCACCGCGCCCACCTTGCCGATGTTGGGCAGCGCATCAAAGGGGAACGCGTAGCGCAGGCTGTTGATCATGTCGACGTACTGCGACCAGCACCGATCCATCGCCTCGAGCGTGTCGACGTACGCCGTGTGGTGCGCGTTGGGCTGCTCCGAGTCCGGACGCACCTCCATGCCCGAGCGCACCACCTCCTGATCCGCGTCGCCAAACTGCTGCACCGCTTCGCGCGCGCGCTTCTCGATGCGCTGCATGTACTCCAGATGCGTCTTGGTCCACTTGGTCACGATGCGCATCGCAGGCAGCGTCCTGCGCACCACCGCCGTCAAGTTGCGGATTGGCGACGCCTCGGCACCATCGTCGCCAAGAGCCGCTGCCGCAGCCTTGCTCGCCTCCAACGCCTTGCGCGTCTCGGTCGTGTCGACAGCACAAAGCTCGCGGAAGACACCGAGCACGTGCGCCGTCACCTGGAACTCGACGCAGCGGCCCGTCTCGGGCGACGGCGCACGCTTGCGCGACGAGCGCTCGCTGCGGATCGCTCGAGGTCGATGCGGGTCCTCCGATCCTTCTGATGATGGCCTTGGCGCATCGCGGCTGACCGACGAGGGTGCGCTGCGCCATAGTCGCGTCGTCCACGACGCACACAGCGCCGTGACAAGAAACTGGACAATCTGGTCGGCGCGCAGCGCTCGCGCGCGAACCAGCGTCGAAAACGTAGCCAGCACGCAGCGCGAGAGATACATGATGTGGTCGAGATGGCTGCGGCGGTAAAAGAGGCCGTGCAGCACGACGACCTGCTTGAGCCACGCCTCGGTGGTGCGCTCGGCGAGCTCGACGTCGGCGGCCAGCCGAGCGACCAGCTGCGGATCGCGCAACTCGGCGTCCTTGGCTGCATCCCACGTGTAGGCGGATGCATGGGTGGAGCGCGAGGCCTCGTCGAGCCAAGCAGCGGTGGGCTTGGCGAGCAGCTTTTCCAGGTTGATCTTGGCCTTGGCGAACGGCGTCTTGACGCACAGCGCGCGGTAGTAGTAGTAGAGCGAGGCGAAGGTGTCGCCCTTGTACGTCGACACGACGGCCAGCTGGTTGGCCGGGTTGCCCTGGTCCGGCAGGATGAGGCGTGCCTGCTCGTAGAATGCCGACGCGCGGCTAAAGTCGTACTTGGGCGTAGGCTTGGGCCTTTTCGAAGGGGCGGACGCGGCGTCGGCCGGAGGGTCGTGCGACGACATTTCGCGGTAGCGCGCGAGGTCGCCGCAAAAGATGAGGAACTTGTGCAGCAGCGTGACGAGGTGCGTGCGCTTGGCGGGCAAGAGCGCCGCCTGGGAGAGCGACTCGTCCGGCTCGTTGTCGTGGCGGTTGGCGCGCGATGTGAACGAGTCCGAGGGCAGAGACGACGCGAGCGACGAATCTGCATCGTTGTCGGCGTCGATGCCGAGCGCTTCGAGGTTGGCACGCGCCTCGTCGAGCGAAAAGAGACGCACGAGGCGGCCGACGAGCTCGTGCCAGAAGAGCTCTTCATCTACGAGGAACTTGCGGTACTCGGCCTTGACGCGCGACGCATCCTGGGCCGACTTGCCCCGGCGACCAGGTGCCTGAGCTGCTGCAGGGGCCGATGCAGGATCGACGGCCTTCTGCGCGGCCGAGATGTAGGTGCGGTAGGCGGAGATGAGCGTGTAGGAGGTGTCGTTCCAGATGTAGCCATCGACCGCCTGCGCCTCGCGGGTAAAGGTGCACGTGAAGAGGAGGTTGAGCCAGGTGTTGCGGAGGTTGCGACGGGCAAAGTCGATGTCGGCGTCGAGGAGCTTGGCGCTGGCGTCCTTGGGATGCATCCTGCCTGCGCGCGAGGTGGTGCTGGTGGAGGAGATGGATGCGGAGTGCGCAAAGCTGGGCTTGACCATGCGATCGAGCTCGGCCTTCTGCCTGCGGCCCTGTTCGAGCAGTGCGGCGGCGCGCACATCTCTCTGCGGCATGGCGGCGGGTGTGGGTGACGGCATCCTGGCGAGGCGAGGAGTGGATGAGCGATAGCAGGCTGGCGTGGCGGCCTTAGTTCGGGATCGATTGCAGAAGAGAAGAGATGCAGCGTTGGTGCGATCAGACCATGGTGTCAAAGGGCTGTGTGTGTCGCGAGTCGAGGCCGAGGGTATTGAGTAGGGTGGTGAGCGGTGGTAGTGGTGGTGGGAAGATGAGATCTGCAAGAGCTGGATGCTTCGACTTGGGCGCCTTTCATCGCTCGGCTGGGGGTGATTTTGTTTTTAGACGGTCCTTCCACCGCGGCTCTCTGCCGAAATCCCACTCTTTTGGCCGTTTCTCGTCGCAGCTCCGCCTGGCCCGTGGGCTCCTGCGCCCTTTGTGCCCTTGTGGAGGAGGTAAAATTCAGCTAAGACGTCGATTTGAGCCTACAAGCTCAGCTTCGTCGATTTCGACGTCTTGGCGAGTGGGTATCCAAGCGTGTGCGCCCGCGGCCAAGCTGCGGAGCGCACCAACTCGCGCAGGCTGATCATCCCTCGCTGCTCACAAAGCTATCCATCGCGACACCAGACAATCGCACATGTACACACCGACTGAGGAGGGGGAAGAATCGTCTGATTTCATTGCGAGCCGTCAAAGGAGACGAGCAGGGCGCTGATCACGCCCGAAAACAGAGATTGAGACAGAGAGAGAGCAGGAACGAGGAAAGAGGCCCGCCGAGCGAGACGGGTACATGGGTGCGGCCACAGGATGCGCGACACGAACCAGAGCGGGAAGGAGACATGTCGAGAGCACCGAGGAGCAGCTGGATGAAGCCCCCGCAAGTGCTCGTCGACGCCGGAACCGGAAGACCGAGCCACAGAAACAAGACCTCGACGAGTTCAGCAGCGACGACGCGCTACATGAACCAAAGATTGTTGGTGAAGGGGGAGTTCTGCTTCGAGAGCTTCTGCATAAACTCCATCGACTCGACCTCGCCGATCTCCTCGGCAGCGGTGGAGCCGCGCTCCGACGAAGCCACCGTGTCGCCGTCGTCCGGGCCGTACTCGAAGGCACGCGCCTTCTCGCACAGGATGTCGGCGTAGTAGGCGGGCGGCACGAGCGAGACCGAGCGCGTGGCGCGGCAGTAGGTGTAGCAGAGCGAATTGATGCACTTGATCAGGTGCTCGCTCGAGAACTCCATCTCGTTTCGCAGCACCACGTAGTGGCACGGTCGCGCCGTACCCACCAGACCCGCCTGCGACTGCAGGTAGAAGTCGAAGCCAAAGGGCGACACGATGTTCTTGTCGACGCACGTGCCCGCAGGCAGGTTGCCCGACCTGTCGCCAGCCACGTCGCGCGGGTCCTTGGCGAAGAAGCGCACATGGTGGCCCTTGCCGCACACCACAAACGTCACCTTGACCTTGGCATCCGGGCGCAGCTCGCGCGCCGCTTCCTTGACCGCCGCCAGCTCGTGGTCCAGCACCGCCTGGTACTGGCCCTCGGACACGCCATCGCGGAAGAAGACGATCGACTCGGGCAGTCGGCCCTGGTTGGCCGCCTGCCACTTCTTCAAGTGACCGAGCATCATGCCCTTCGAGTGGAGCATGACTTCCTGCACGGCGCCGCCGCGCGGGTTGGTCTGGCGACGAAGCTCGCTCGAGTATCGCCTGGCGCTGCCGTCGATGGTGGCTACCGAGCCGGCGATCGAGGGCTTCTCCGAGCCCGGGCCAGGGTGCGTGACGTCGGCGCCGATGAGCATGGTCTGGCGGCCGAAGCGAGGTAAGTCACGCTCGCTGGCGACGACGTGGTTGGTGCCGCCCAACTTGACGTTGATCTTCATCGCCACGTTGGCGACGTACTGGGGGCGGCCGCGCATGTTGAACGCCTTGTGCGCACTGACGCACTGCGTGGCGACGGGCGTGTGCATCTCGAGCGCAGCGGTGCGCTTGATCGTGTTGTAAAAGGGCTGGTCCTGCACGTCGAGCACGATCAGAAAGAGCTGCGGCAGAGGGGGGTTGCCGCCCGACGCCTGCTTGGCGACTCTGTAGGCGGCGCTGCCCACCTCTTGCATGTGGCCGCGCACCACGTTGGTGTTGAGATCGACGCGGAACTTCTTGATTTCCGGGCGCGTGTTGCGGATGCGCAGGCCTAACTTCTGCAGCGCGTCGACCTGGGCGACGACGAAGTCCTCCACCGTGTTGGGCGGGTGGCGGCTGTAGTCGAGCACGCCCCAGGTGATGAGATCGTCGCCGGGCTGGAAGAAGCGAGCGCCGACGAGGTTCCAGGAGCCGTTGTTGATGCGCGGGCGCTGCGAGCCCGAGGCGTAGCTCACGTCGGGCTGAGGGATGACGCGAGCCTCGGCCGACAGGGGCTGCGGGTCGACCGAGACGCCCCAGGCACGCAGGTAGGCGTCCTGCTCGTAGTTCACCTCGGCGCGGATCTCGTCGACGCGACGCTTGCGCTCCTGCGGGTCGAGCTTGGTGCGGGCGATCTGGTCGGCGGCCTGCATGGGCGTCAAGCTGGTCGCCGGGATGGGGCCGAGCGGCACGACCTCGCAACACTCCATGGGAACGGCGGAGCGCTGGGCGCCGATGCGCACGCAAGGCAGGCGAGGGAAGCGGAGGCGGTAGTTGTACTTCTCGAGGAAGTACTGCGCGATGGTGTACGTCTTGCCGTCCTTGGTCTGGAACTCGGTCTCGTCGGCAGGCTTGGGCGTGAAGCCGGTGAAGGACTCGAGCTTGTTGGTGGCGCGGTGGGTGACGCGAATGCCGACGTTCTTGAGGCGCAGACGCAGCTGGCGCGTGTCCTGATGGGTGAGCGAGGTGATGGTGGGAGGGCCGCCGGGGCCGCCCGAGCCGCCACGAGCGCCAAAGTCGCCGCCGCCGCGGCCACCACGGCCACCACGGCCGCCTCGGCCGCCGCGACCGCCGCGACCGCCGTCGAAGCCACCAGGGCCGCCGATGCTGAGTAACTTGGCGGCGACCTCGATGAAGGGGCCACCGCCGACGAAGGCCGAGTAGGCGGGGTCCAGGTTGACGACCAGGCCGGCGGCGCAAGGACGGGCCGACTGGAAGAAGCCAGGCCAGATCTGCGCGCCCTGCGAAATGTGGATCGGCTTGGTCGGGTCGTAAAACTTACGAGCGGCGTTTGCGGTGGTGCCGGACTGGTAGCGGGCCTGGAGGCCCATGCGGAGCAAAATGTCGATGGCTTGGATTCCGTCCTGTACCAACTCCTGAGGGTTGGCCGCCGTGGCCATGATGGCGCGTCGGTCGCCGCGGCACGAGTCGAGAACAAGACCGATGTCGATGTTGCGGGCGAAGGCAAGCTTGATCTTGAAGCGACGATCGCCGCGAGGGGCGGCGGCAGGGGCTGGAGCGCCGGCGGGGGCGGCGCCGGGCGCACGACGAGGAGGGGCGCTCGCGGCACCAGGAGCGCCGGGAACGGCGGGCAGATCGACCTTGGGCGGGAGCTCGGTCTCGAACTCGAGCGATTCGGCAGGTAGAGCGAAGGCGGTGTAGGCGATGGCGCGGCCGTCGTACACGATGAAGTTTGCGAATTGGTCCGTGATGCCGTGCAGCTGCTGCTGAGCAGCGGTGCGGAGGCCATGCTGAAGGACCTCCATGTTGAGGCGCACCGGCAGAGACTCGCGGCGGGGGCCAGCGCCGGGAGGACGAGCGGCAGAGGGGTCTTGGATTGGCTCGATCTTGACGTCGAGTTGTTGGATATTGTCGAGTGCCCGGCCCTTGATGTGGGCGCGGAATAGGTCCGTCGTCACCTGGAGCGGACGGCCCTGCTTGTTGCCGTCGTCTGGGCGAGGCGCAGCGCCAAAGAGCGTCAGCGCCTCAGTGCCGCCTCGAGCGGCGGGCATGATTGCTAAATAAGTAGGCGTGAAGGCGAATCAAGTATTGAGACGTATTGGCGATTGTCGGTGTTGGTCGCGGTGGTGGTGGTGGGGGTTGAGGAAGAGGCGGGGCGAAGAGCGCAAACATGACGAGGGTTTTTATGAAGGAAGACGATGAATGCGGGCGAGCGGCGAGGTGCTGGGTTGGGAGAAGGCAGCGACTGGGCTGAGTCGAGGCGAGAAGGTTGATGAAGGCGACGAGGGAGAACGGTGGGTCTGAGGCAAGACACGGTTGAGGCGAAGAAGCAGGAGGAGGAGCTCGAGCGTCAAAGCGGCTTTGCGCCTTGATTAGAGTCCTGACAGGTGCGGATCTTTTTTGGCTCGACGCGGCGGTTTGGGAAAAAATTGCAGGCAGAAGAGCAGAGGAGAGAGCGCCGACGTGCGCTTTAAATATTTCGGCACCAACCTGCAGCCGCTGCTGCTGCTATCCGCGAACAAAGGGTCCTCAACAGCCGCATCTCATGGCGCCAACCTCACTCCCACGGCAAGTCGAAGCATGACTGAGCCCAATCAAGCCGTGCACTTCTCTGCGCAAACCTTGACTCTGCGTGGGCGAACTGCGGCAGCGGGCCAAACAGCCGGAGCGGTGAGTTGCGCACGAGCCAGTCTTGACAGCCATTCTCGACTCGCTGCGCAATGCGCGCCAAACACGGCCTCGATTATTGGGGCCAATTTCGCGACCCTACTTTTCGAGACCCTTTTCTCGCGCCACTCAATTCTAGTTGAAGCGCAGCAATGTGGAGGCATTTCGGCGGCGGATGTGGTCATGCAAGCTCAGACGCTCAGACGCTCCGCCGCTCCGCCGCTCAGCTGCTCGGCTGCTCAGAGGTGATTGCCAACAAGCTAAGCTCGGCCGCTCAAGGTTTCCAACCTTGATCCGACATCCCCACCCGCCGAATTCACAGCTTGCGAAATGAGCTCGCGTCGATCGGCACGCGCTTCCGCCGCAAGCCGGCAGAGCTACCGCGAAGACTCGGACGACGACGATGATGCGGCGCCTGACGACCTGACCGAAGACGAGTACGAACAGCACGACGGCGCTGCCAGCGCAGAAGACGATGAACCCGAGCCCGAACCTTCCGACTCCGACGAACAGCGAGACGACCCTTCCAGCCGCAGCGCCAAGCGCCGCAAGACCGCCAGCAAGCAGACAGAATGGGCACCCGGGGTGACTCGCGTCGTCGCCAAACTCGTCGGCGCGCCCACCACCGCTCACGTAGCCAAGGGCGAACTCAGCCCCAACGTACTGCGCTTCCTCTCGGATCTGGCGGCCAACAACGATCGTGATTGGTTCGCCCGTCATGACGCCGTGTATCGATACTGCTGGGCCAACTTTGGCGACTTTGCATCGGCGGTCCTCGACGACATCATGACGCACGTCGATCCCACTGTTCCCTGGCTGCCCACAAAGGATCTAGTATACCGCATCTACCGCGACGTGCGCTTCTCGAATGACAAGACTCCGTACAA